AGGAAGGTGACAGGAAAGCAAAATCCTTTCATTTGCTTTGTCCCTGTTGTCTTAAGGATGTGATTGCACAACAGTGGTTTACCCTTCTTAGCAGCAGCTGGGGCCATGTCCAGCCAGTGAGAAATGCTTGGGGTGGGAGTCAGGTCGACAGATTCTCTTCTTGCCCCACAAGTCCCTCTTGCTCGCGGCAAGGAATTCTGGAGTCTTGGGACCACCACAATGGGGCCCTTTCTCACAGGGCTGGAAAGCTCCAGCTCTGCTCAGAAAGGACAGATTCATGGTGGAGAGGGCTCCACAATGCAACGATTTATGTCAGGAAATGAACAGAATGCTTTCTAAAAAAAAATGAAGAAGAAGAAGGAAAAAAGCCTTCATCTGTTTCTTTGGCTCAGGGAAGAGATCAGCTGTGGTTTCATGATATCAGAGCATGGAATGCTGTAGGGGGAAAATGTATAGCTGTGTGCAATAATCTGTTTGAGTTTCTATTCCCAATGCATAACACACAGAGTTAATTTTGCTTAATTTCGTGTCATATGGGTCTCAGAGCTCAGTGGGAATGGAGATGCCTTCATGCACATGGTTCAGCTTTTGCACTCTGAGTACCACGAGTATGAATTATAACCCTGCACTCTCCATATAGCTCCTGTGTGTTTGGATAATATTAATGTGTTAGGTGCTCCTCCAGCCATAGTCCTTGGGGACAGGCAGGTGCCAGTTCTCAGTCACACTTGGTTTTGTGCCTTGTCTCAAATAGAAAATGTCAGTCTGGCTGTTGAAAATAAGGAGCGTTTCAAGATGCAAATATATTCTCAAGGCTCAAGTTCCTGTGCACATAAAGAGTAGTAGCAAAGTATTTTTGTATTGGTTTACTTTAAAAATAGTGTCACAGAATGTGATAGCAGTGCTAAGAAAAACAGTTTGTGAAAAAGTCGTCTTCATCACTGACTGCAAACTTAAGTGTTGGGAAGGAGAGAGTGGACTTCCTTGTAAAAATATTTCTGTGCTTTTAATCTGCCTGGCAAATCATTTGTGATTAAATGATAATCTGAGTTGTTTGCTTGAAATGTCATATATCTCCACCACAGTCTGCCCACACCACTAGAGACTTTTAGGAATTAAGGAGCCTGGGAACAGAAATGACTACAATGTACTTAAACATGAATTAGCAAAAGCCAATAAATACAGAACAATTTCAATTTATGTATTAAAACTCTCGAGGATACAGGCTGACCTCCATTACTCAGGGTTTGTCACTGTCTCATCTCCTTCAAACAGCAAGCACTGAGAAAGAGACAGGAAGATGATTTACTCTCCCTTTAGCTTCTGTCCCGTCTGCTGCAGTTCTGCTGTGCAGCTCCCCCAGCCGTGCTGCTCCGTGGGTCTGACAGCTCCTCATGTTTTGCAGGCACTGTTTTCCCTCATAACTGAAACTCATGGTAGTCTGAAATCTTTGCTAAATGAGTTGAAGCCAAGCCTTGCTTTACTGAGAGGCAGAGGCCCTGGGCTAAAGTGTGACGTATCTGGGAAAGGAGGAATCCCGGAGAGTGAACTTTCTGGGTCTGCTGTCCCACATCAAGGGAGAGAAGCTTTCAAAACTCTTTGCACCATGGGTCCCACAGGGATGAGGCCCCCTGACTGAACCCATCACCTCCAAGGGAAGCTGATCCTGCAGGAGGCTTCTGCAGATTTGCCAGATCTCCAGAGGGGATGCAGGAGAAACCCTCTGGGACAGATATAAATCAAAGTGAATTAGAAAATAGACACAGCTGTCACCAATACACCTAGTCACCTCCAGTCCTCTCCACCTGGAACATTTCTTAGTCTCCATTGAACAAATGTCGGGATACTCCTCACTTTTTAAACAACTTTCTGATTGTGCCACTGTTTGTGTGTATCTGTATGTATTTGGATAGATCAAAACACATGTGCACACACATCAATGTTTATTAACTCTCACTGAATACAGCAGCAAAGTCAGTCCCTAAAGATGTGCTATAAAACTTTTCCATAACATTGTTAATACAACCTTCATATTTAAATTAGATTGCAAGTGACATATTAATTCAACATAAGATCTTTTTATGATTCAGAAATTTCCAGACTGTGGATAGCTTTAATGTGCTAACAAGGCAGTTAGCTTTATAGCAATGTCCATGGTCCTCCTTTCACATTCATTGCTAGATTTCAAATTAGTAATGTTATCTTGGGGTAATGCTGATGAGAAAGGAGATCCAGCTTCCCTCTCCTTTGTCATTGAAGGAGAGTATCCAGCTTGTGTGACGTGCTTGGCACCAGCTATGTTTTAATACCATCAGCAGCAGGAAATATTTTCTTTGCCAGTAATGAGGCTTAGCATCAGCTAAAGGTGGTGCCCCCACAGGAAGACTTTAAACAAAATTGCTAGATTCTAATTCAGAAAAGGGTAGAGATATACTATTTTTGAGATAGGTGTTTGTTCAGTATGGAGTGATCCTGGATGATGAAGAGATCTGCCAGAGCTACTTTTAGTTCCTCCTGCTGCTTTCATTGTTATTCTTGTAGCTGTGGCTGGCAGTGGAGTTAGGATGGTGGTGTCTGTTCTCATATAGAAATGGAAGAAGAATGGAAATATGTATGTGTATAAAGATGAAAAGATAAAAAGAGCAAGAGCTGAAAAGAAAGTGAGCTTCCCTGCATAACTACAGATATGACATTGATTGTGCCTTTCCTTGGAAGGGTTTTTCTTCTGCAAGACCACATTTTTTGTCTGATCTAAGGGTTAATGGTGTGCCAGGTGCAGTCTGGGTTGCAGGAGATCAGAGTTTCTACTTGGAAATTGTTACAGTTAAGAGAAACCATTAAATAATTTCCTTTATTGCTTTGGAGACATAAACCAATACCTCACAATTAATGCTTCATTGAAAACAGTGAGGCTGAGAGGTATTACCCTTATATATCATCACTTGGGAGAGGGAAGATACATCAATGAGTCATATGCAGGATAGTAAGACATTAAAAAAATTAAACATGGAGTCAGGCAGGGCTCCCTGCTGCTGCTGCTATTGCAAAGCAGCAATCCAGGCTTTCTTCTTTAGCAGAAAAGAGGTGAAGAATATGTACACAAAGAGCACTTTACACAGCCAGAGAGATTATTTGCTATATCTTCTTTGCTTTCTACTTTTTTTTTTTGTCCTTGCTGGGAGGAACAAGTTTTGGATTTCAGAGTTTCACTGTGGAGATGAAGATTTTATTTCAAGCTTCATTTTATTTGATACTGCTTTCCTCTGACTTAATGAGTGAAATGTGGGTGTACAAAAAAGTAATAAGACAGGGAGATACAGGGTACCTGGGGTTTTTTCAGGAACTCTAAAATCAGAACCCAATTAAAGTTGACTTTAAAACTTACAGAAAGACTAGATGAAAAGAAGAAAGCTAGCCCCACAAGTTGTTTGGCTTTTCTTTTTTTTTTTCATTAAGCCTTGTGAATTAGTGGTGGTAGTGATACAAATAACTATTTTATAATGATAAATTAATTTATTTCATTAACTATCAATCAATCATTACCTCATTTCTAATCATGTGAATTGAGTTCTGCACGCCAGGAGAGCTGTATTGACAGCTCCACAAAGCTCCAGACTGGCATGGGAGCCAAGCTGAGGTAGAGAACTACATTTTGGGGATTGTACCATCCCTGGCTTGGTCTGAGGGATCTCTGTTTCAGGCACCATAAAGAGTAATTATATTTGCATATGATATCGCTTCTGTAGAAGAAGCAACTTATTCATGAGCAGTAGCATCATCACATCAAATACAGCTGCAGATATGGCTGAGAAAACAACCATTTAACTGAAGTAGAAACGACACTGGGAAATTAAAAGAGGGTGCAAAAGATTCCCAATTGTTACTCACTGGAAACAAATCTTAGACATGTAAGGCATGGGGATGCGCACAAAATTCTGGGAGAAACAGAATTTACAGGTAAACATAACTCTGCCCTCGAGGCAGCTTTGGGGGCTCTTCAGCTGAGCCCACAGACTCTCCTTAAATAAACAGTTTGGGCTAATCCCTCTCTGATGCTCTGGAGGATGGAGCAAGGGACAAAACCCCACTTCTGGCAGCCCAAAGCGTAGAGGCTCCTGCCTGCCCCTCTGGTGGATTCCTGCGAGCAGAACCTGCCATGGGTGGATCTGCCCACGTGAGCTCTGCCAGGTGCGGGGGGCACCGTGCGGGCACAGCGGCGCTGCCTCTGCCCGGGCTGGGGCTCACCGGCTGCGGAGAGCGCCCGGGGAAGCACGGCCCTCAGCCAAGTATTCCTGCCCTCAGTTCTGCTTATCCCCAATCAGTTCTTGCAGCTCCTTCTGTAATTTCTTCCCCTCCCATAGCAGCTGTCCGGGGTTTCAGCTGTTTTGCATGAGTGGAGATGCCAGCACCCTTTAAATCACTATGGAAAAGTAAGGGTGCGCGTTCTATCCTGGGAGAAAGAAGAAAAGACAAAGTTTGGGGTTTGTTTGGTTGTTTTTTTCCCTTGTGCTTTCCAAGCGCTTGTCAGAGATAACTAGTAGAGGACTGGAGGTTATTCACAAATTAATTAGCCCCGGGACTACCAGCAGCGCCAGCTCAGCCTGGAGCCGCCGCATCCCTGCAGCAAACAGTTCCCACCCCCGCTCCTCTGCGGGGGCACGCTAAGGGTTAATCCAGTAGCTGTGCATTTAACAGCACAATTTAAAGGGGAAAAAATGACAGCCCTCTCCCCTGCCTCGGCGGCGGTGGATGGTTCGCTCTGCCCGGCTGATCACATGCTCCGAGCCCCCGGTGCTGCCGCAGCCCCGCCGGTGCTGCCCAGGGGCCGGTGCTGCCCGCGCCCCCCGCCCGTGCCCGGCCGCCCTCACCTCCGCTCCGAGGGAGGGAGAGAGGGCGCAGCACCAGCCCTGGAGCGTATGGGTGGAAATTTGGGAGGCACCCGTTCTCTCAGCACCGTTCCCAGCTCTAACCATGTCTATTTGTTGTTGTCTGTTTTTCAGGGACTATGGATCTTCAAAGAGGAAATCAGGTAAGACACCAGGCTTTTTTATGTGTTGCATGATTCTAGAGAGGTCCTTACCCCCTGCTTTTCCCCTTCTGTTTATCTTGTGTGGTGTGAAATTGTGTAGCAGTTTAACTTTTCATTGCTGAATCCTGGCTAGAGATAAGCATCAGTTTCTTTCCTTTGAGCTGTATAGAAGAACTGCATCTGTATGCTATATAGTTATATATATACTATATACTGTATATAGTATTGCAGTTAAAATTACTGCTCTTCTCTAACTGTATTTATACAGCTCTATCTCCAATGTGAGATGATAATTGTATTACATTTCTTTATTTTTCATTGCAAATGGTCAAAGTGCAGAGTCAGAGTTGGGGTTCTTTTCTGGAGGCGAAGGATATCTTTTTCTCTGCTGATTTGGATTTTTTTGTCTTGCCTTTCCAAAATGCTCTGGTGAGGCTTCTGATGCAAAATGTTCTGGGTTTGGGCTGCCTCAAAGGCTGTAGCTCAGTGTTTTGTTCCTAAAATCCTGGATTGAAATGTCCTATAAAACTCTGATTTGAGACTATATAAATCCAATTTTACCCCTCCCCATGTAGCTCTTAGTGATTTTTACAGATGTGTTTTCAATAGGGATGTGCAATTATGGGCCTCTGGGTTTGGCTGCTCTGAGCTGGATGTGTCAGGGCTTTCTATTTTTTTCATTTTTTTTCCCTAAGCACCATTGAGCACCTGCAACTCTCATTGACTTTGTTTGGAACCTTGGATGCTTCAAAGTGCATTCAGGGCATCCAAAGAGAAGCCTTTCAAACCAATACTGACTCCTGGAAAACTCTGGCCTGTGTGCAGGGAGAGGAGGATTTTTTTTCTTCCTGCTTTTTAAGATGATAAAGAAACACTGCAGTGGCTTAGTCTCTGGAAGGGAAGATGAATGTAATATACTGGACTGCAATGAATATCACTGTCTAGATTGATTTGTTGGATAATTATGAGGGCTTTTAAGCTGCCATCCTATAATAAGCTAAGTGATGCACTAAAGAGAAGCTGTTGCTTAACCCTATTGGCCTGGGTATCAATTGGCCTTTGCAGGCCAATACTTTTGGTACCTTTCCTTGAATTTTCCTGAGGTGGGGGGGGGGTGGTAGTGAAGAGGCAAGCATGGTACAAGGTGCTGGTCCCACAAATAAATTAGGGCATGCTTGGTCTTCTTAATCTCCTGCAAAGCTTCTGTCTGGGTTGCACTTCTAGGACTTGTTAAATGTAATATTAAGGAAAGTGTGTGTTCACAACAGCCTGTGAATTAAGTTGGCAGCAGCACCTTCTCTAGAGGGGCTGACCATAAATAAAAAAGTCCAAGTGACTTGGTAGAGGGCAGAGCTGAGTGTGGGAGTTCCTGGCTCAGTGCCACATCCTGAGCACTGGGGGCTTTTGGGCCATGTACAAATCTTTGAAAAACGTTGCTGAAGTCTCTGGGGCAACCTGATTTAGCACTGACCTGGAACAGCAGCATTAGGAGACACAGAGAGCTTTGGGCTCAGTGCACCAGTTTTCATGAAAGAGTATTGCAATTCATGTGCAAGAGACGTGAGGAACTGCTTTGGGAGTGGAAGGAAACTGCTGCCTCTCCATTCCTGTGGCTCTGGGAGCAAGTTGGAGCTGATCTGCCATGACATCATGAGAAAAGCAGTTGAGTCAGTGTAGCTGAGATGCCATTTGTGGGTGCTCTGCCCTGCTGGACTCTTTGGCCCCCTGCCCTGAGGACCCCAAGTGCCATGGTCATTCATCCCTGCCAGGGGCACTCAGGTTGGGCTCCCTCCTGTGGCTGTCCCAGCTCCAAGTGCTGCCAGATCTCCTTCTGCACTTCTTTCCTTTTTGGTGCTGGGCTGTTTGTGCAGCCAGGGCTTGGACACACTGGAGCTGAGGGACACTTTCTCCACTCGCCCCGTACAAAGAGGAATGTGAACCAGCACTGTGAACAAATGGAGCTGCATAAAGGGACTCTGTTCTCAGCCATCTTCTTGCTTGATTTTGGAATGGCAGAGGAATGCTTCCTTCTGTTTGGAGCTGGATGAGGAATGCTTCCTTCTGTTTGGAGCTGGATGTTGTGGGAGCACGCACGCAATGAGCAAAGGAATATGCCAAGGGCATTGCCAGTTACAGCCTCTAACAAAGATCAGCTGTATGACACTTGAAAAAGGGATGGGGTAAATAAGCACAGATTTTCAGGATTGCTGTGATGGTCTTTTAAGATAACAAACAGCTTCGAAATGCAGTTTCTTCTGTAGGTGCAGATCATGAAACTACTGCATCTGTAAGCAAGAGACAAATAGGCATTTTTAAATGCAAGCACCTCCCAACAAATGAGACCTTATGAACATCCTGTGTCTTGACCAAAGATGTGCTGGGAGGAGGCTGCTGGGTGTGAGCACAGCTGTCCCACACTGTCCAGCAGGAATCCCACAGCTGCTGTGTCTCAGGCATGCGCAGGCATGACACGAGCGTGGCCGATTGCAGAAACATTCAGAGAATGCCTCAGACAGCCAACATCACCTCTACCCTGACCTCTGCCTTGCCAGAGTGAGTGTCTAGCTAGTCCTCTGCTCACCCCTCAGAGCAGGGAGAAACTGGATAAGTTCAGAGTTTAATAGGAGTTATGGAAACATTTACCACTGGAGTTGATGCTGGTTGTAAACATTTGAGACCTTCTGAACCAAATGCAATAGCGTGGCATGTCCTTAGCTAAACAAAAGGGAGTCTGATGCTGATCTGGGGCATCTCTGCATGCCAGCCCTGAGCCAGGCTTCCTCTTGTGCAAAGGGCTGTGTAAACACACAGCCCTTTGCTTGGATGTGATCTAATTATAAATGCTTTAACCTGCAGCCAGCTCAGAGACCTGGGGCTCTGTGAAGGCACAGACATTTGCTGTGGCCTGAAATGCCACATGTGCTGGTACCTTGGACTTGGGGGGCTTTATTTGACACACTGCAGAGCTGCTCAGAAAGCTGCCTTCATGTTTCCAGGCAATTGAATTGTTGCTCTCTGACCATCTGTCCATGCTGGAGAGCCCTCAGTACAACTGTGAGGAGAGGTTACATGAGTATATTCTGTACACTTGCAACAAATGGGCTCTTCTTGGTCCACCCAAAGACCCTCTGCATCAAAATGGGAAGGAATTACTTTTCAAACTCCAATTTGTCAATTGCATTAGCCAAGTGAGCAGCTACTCATTTGTCACTCAAAATAGTCATTACTTCTATGCTGGCATCCATTGTGTGGTTTTTCTGTCCTCAAATCAAAATAAGGGTAGAATTGCTGCAAATCTAGGAATGGATATTTGTATGGTACATTACAAGCAACAGATTAGGTTAATCCATTCTGCAAACCCTACCAGCTACCATCTGTGCATGGTGAACTAATTAACCCTTGAGATATCTGCTAATCCTGATGTGGCTTATAAAACCAGTTGGAGTATGTTTCTCCCCAAAGATATCATTGTGTCACCCACCACACAAACCCCCTTGCTGGCTAGAGAAAGCTGCAGACTCCTGGAGTAAGATCTTGCCCTCTCCCCTTGCTGAGAATCTTTCCTGCCTGGTTTCATGCCAAAGCAGTCAGGTCCCAGTCACGAAGCTGAAGCATCTGAAGCATCATTGCCTGTTGTTTGGTGGCAATAGGGAGCTGGTGTGGGCTTCACAACTTTTCTGCACTGAGTCTCAGTGCTTCTCAACTACTGAGAGGACTCTCTTTGCTAACCTTGAGGTCAGATCCAGCACAAGAGGTGCTTTCAAATTGATCTCTGTCACCTGCCTTGTAGGTGACCAAGCCCTTGTGGTCACAACTCTCCATATGTCTGGGCAGGAGCACTGCTGGCCACCCCCTTCTGGAACCATAACCAAACTGCCCCTGCTCTGACTGCCCACCTTGCTGCTGGCTTCAAGCCTTTGCTTGGTGGCTTCCTCTGGCACCTTGGTGCTATGCTGTAGGAAGCTCCTCCAAGTGAGGGGAATAAGCTTTAATAAAATGGAAATTATGGCTCTGTCAGTCCTGCAGTGTTTCCTTTCCCTCACTGTTCAGATCCTGTCTGCATGGAGCTGGCTGTGCTTTGGCTGAGTCTGGCAGCTGAAGCCTATTTTAAGTAGTAATTGGGCACTTAGAATATGTAATTAATGATTTGGTTCAAGCTAGTGTTGCCTCAGGATGCTGAGGATGCCTCAGGATGCTGAAGCTTCCTTGAATGAGTAAACCATCTTTCAGCTGGGTTTCCCTGTCCAGTTTTTGGACTAGCAAGATTATGGCTACACACAGCCAACAATCACTGTTTTCTTTCCCTCCTGTAATCTAAAACTAGGAAGGATATATCTGCTGGCAAGTAAATAAAAACTTCAGAGTCCATTGGAAGATAATTCACAAACTTTTTATAGAAACATCTGTAATGCTGTCTTTTCCCTCAGTGGGGAAATTACTAAGCAGAGTTGAGAGAGTTTCAGCAATGACACAAGTGGGGCCTCAAGTGAGAAACAAGCAGATTGTTGTAAAAACACCAAGGGCCCTGGTGGCTGATCACTTTGTGGGATGCTGCCTAGGAATTATGGGTGGAGCTAATGGCCCAAGTTGCTTCTTCAGCCTAATTCTTCATTACCAGAGAAACTTTCTTTCTTGCCCTCGTGCACCAAGGATGTGCACTCTGTCAGCTTCAGGGACTGCCTTAATTGCTGTTTCTTTGCATTATTTGGGGTAGGTTTTTTTTCTGCTTCCTTTGTAATTACCCAGGGAAATGGCTCAACTTGTGGCTTTTTCTGTCCTTGCAGCCGAGCTATGCTCTTCACTTCAGAGCTTAACCTTTCTAACCCTGTCACTCTGCATGTGTCTATCCTGCACTTAGAGTTCCACGGCGTGTCTTGCTCACTATCTTTTTTTTTCCTTTTCATAAATGAGCTTTATTTTCTTGACATAGTCTGAGCTGCCTCCTTTAAGACAATGTGGAGAAAATGAATAGTGTGTGCCACCCCTTCTGTGCTTAATTA